AGGTCGTTCTGTAGACGTTGGATCAACATTGAATTAGCTGTTGATTTTGCAAATTGAATCACGTTGTTTCACCGTCGTACTTTCAACATGGGCGAATACACAACTGTACTTTCAATTAGAACCTAGTTTGCATTTAGCCTAGATCAGCACTGTAGGCTACTGTAACGTGGAGACGTGATAACGGGGTTGAGGATCCAAGTGCAGGCTTTATTTAGAGCGTAGTCGGACAGGCAGAGTCAAAACACCAGCAAAACAGTACATCCTGGGTAATCCAAAGAACAGGCAGTCAACGATCACAAACCAGGTAAACAGTCCAAGAACAAAACACGAAGGCAAGGCAAGACATGGCAGAAACTAGACAACATAGGCTAAACAATAATCAGCTATGTGTGTGTGGATGAGTGCAACCTTTATAGTGTCACTGATGGGAAACAGGTGTGGTGTGATAATGAGTTCCTAGGCAGGGGTTATGGGAAATGGAGTCTGGAGAAAACAAAGACGAGACCCACTATTGTGACAGCTACATACATAAAGGTTAAAAATCAAATGACTGGCAGCAATGGCTTTACAATCAACTTCAATAAACTACCACATGTTCAATATTGTAAAACAATAGTTTTATTTTGGAAACATACTATATAAAACACATGAAAATAATCTTAAACTTTAGTTTGCAGTGTTTGTGCTTGGATGTATTGTTAAAAACCTGTAGAACTGGCAGCAATGGCTTTACAATTAACTTCAATAAACTACTCAAAATTGTAAAACAGCAGTTTTATTTTGAAAACACTTGTATAAAACACATGAAAATAATCTATAGTTTCTGTGAAACAAGTTTTACTAATGTATCTTATTACAAGAGATTTGTACATTTGTGCAGTGAAAATGTGTTGAACAGTTTGAGAATGGAACCTGCAACAGAAACCATGTCGGTGGTAAAGGGTTATAGGAGCATGTGACCACCGGTCTTGATTTTTATCGACAGCCAGAGGCAGCACTAAATTTGACAGAGACAGTCGCCTTGAAATTCTTTATGCAGGAAAAACCCTGCCTTGAATGAAATGCATTTAATATTTTAAGTATAAAATGTTTCTTCAAATTCTGATAAAATGTTAGAACCCAGTTTTATTTTGGAAACATACTGTATAAAACACATGAAAATAATCTTAAACTTTAGTTTGCAGTGTTTGTGCATGGATGTATTGTTAAAAACCTGTAGAACTGGCAGAAATGGCTTTGCAATCAACTTCAATAAACTACCACATGTTCAATATTGTAAAACAATAGTTTTATTTTGGAAACATACTATATAAAACACATGAAAATAATCTTAAACTTTAGTTTGCAGTGTTTGTGCATGGATGTATTGTTAAAAACCTGTAGAACTGGCAGAAATGGCTTTGCAATCAACTTCAATAAACTACCACATGTTCAATATTGTAAAACAATAGTTTTATTTTGGAAACATACTATATAAAACACATGAAAATAATCTTAAACTTTAGTTTGCAGTGTTTGTGCTTGGATGTATTGTTAAAAACCTGTAGAACTGGCAGCAATGGCTTTACAATTAACTTCAATAAACTACTCAAAATTGTAAAACAGCAGTTTTATTTTGAAAACACTTGTATAAAACACATGAAAATAATCTATAGTTTCTGTGAAACAAGTTTTACTAATGTATCTTATTACAAGAGATTTGTACATTTGTGCAGTGAAAATGTGTTGAACAGTTTGAGAATGGAACCTGCAACAGAAACCATGTCGGTGGTAAAGGGTTATAGGAGCATGTGACCACCGGTCTTGATTTTTATCGACAGCCAGAGGCAGCACTAAATTTGACAGAGACAGTCGCCTTGAAATTCTTTATGCAGGAAAAACCCTGCCTTGAATGAAATGCATTTAATATTTTAAGAAGAAATGTTTCTTCAAATTCTGATAAAATGTTAGAACCAACAGCCTTGGGCATATTGCGTGGTTGTGCTTCGGGGTGATCCTTGAAAGTGTCCCAGCTCTAGGTCCTTTTTCTGATGCCGTCCCCTCCTCTCTCTCGCACTTGTGCGCTTTTTGTACTGTCCTGTATAAATAAACACCAAAAATAAATACTCATAAAATATCAACTTTGATATTGTGAAATATCTTTTACTGAAAACTGAATGCAAAACAAATCACATACAATATTTTCAC